CACGAGTGTAGGGCAGGAGGCTCGCATGGGTCAGGACCGCCGACGCACACGGACATGCACGGCCCCTCATCCCGCTGCGTCATTCAGCGCGACACCCCCCCCCACATTACAGGGGCGGGCAGGCAGGGGCAACACAACGGCACAATGACTCATAAACGGCACACAGCCCTTACATTATCAACGAGGGGGCTATTCACAAAAAAGCCCCACAAAGAGACACATCTCGGGCATCTCCGGGGCGACCCCCGAACAGAGGGCTTTCATAAAGCCAACAACGGGCATTTTATTTGCTCAAAACATTCCGCAGATTAGGGCTTAAGGAGCAATTTGCCCCTTTATGTGACGTTTAACTGCTATTATATGGACCTGGAGCCTGACAGGGGAGTTCAGGTGGTGAAAATGTGGGGATTTAGTCTGAGATGGAGTCAACACTGGGATAGGAGGAGATCCCACCCCCGGCCGCACCCCCCAGGAGCGGACAGGCCCGAATGGGAAACCACAGACAGGAATGATGGATGGCGAGGGTGCGGAGAAGCAAAAGCTGTCATTACCTCCGGGCTCGGGGGGGTCTGCCTTTGGGAGGGACTGGGACAGCCCTGGGGCCTGGGCGGGGGGGAGGGAAGTGACAGATTGCCAGAAGCCACCAGCACTGTATGTGTGTGTTGGGGGGGGGTTACAGTCCTCCTGTCACATCAAAAATGATATCATGGACTTAAGGGAAGGTCTGATCTAACAGACGATGAGCTAATTCCCAGAGGGCCTTCTTTGTGTTCATGTTGTTGAGTTTATTGTGTGCACGGTGGGTACTGTATGTGGTCTGTTGCAGTTATATGGTTTGTTATATGCTTTTAATGGTACTGTGTAACCTATATTGTATAGTGCCTGTGCATGATGGGTATTATAAATGTATTTCAGTTATATGGCATGTTGTGTTTTGTCTGGTGGCGTGTACCCTGCGTGTTCTATAGCGTCTGTGGACGGTGGGTATTATATATGTATTTCAGTTATATGCTGCATTATGTGCTATGTGTGATGGTATGTACCCTATGTGCTGTGGTAGGTGGCCAGATTCATTACTGCAAAATGCAATAAAAGAGCGCTGCACTCTCTCTCCATAAGCTGTCCCAGAAAGATGCGGCTTTTGGCGGAAGCGGCCCAGCGATGCGGCACAGCCAGCGTGGAGCCGCTCACGTCTGGAGGCCTGAAGCAGCGAGAGCCGCATTCCCCGCATGGCTAATCGCTATGCGCTAATCCAGTTAGACTTCCTCCATGGTGGGCAGGACAAGTGCAGGAATACAGGAAACACTGAAGCATCGGCACTCCTGAGCCCCCCTGCCTGCCCCCGCCCGGCCCAGTGGGACGCCAGCAGAAGCCGGTGCCCAGCCGGCGTGGCGTGATAGCTCCGTGTCAGCTGAGCCGTAATTAACGTGCTGCCGTACAAATCCCGCCTTCAATTAGCAGCCATTGGCTGACACCGACCACATGCGCATGGGCACTAAGCCACCTTGTGCCAATCGCAGCCAATGCCTCATACTGGCAGTGCAGAGGTCTGGATATTAGCCCATAATTACAGGGTTTACGACACAGCATACAACATGTTAGCAGCTTGGTCTGTGCAGAGATCGAATACTGAAAGCCCAGCTCTGATTGCCTGTTGTGGATTTTGAAAGTGCAATCATGATTGGCTGCCATTATATAATGCGAAAGAAGGTCATCATTAAAACAAACACGGATCAGGCTGGGTCAGTTTCAATGCCACAGATCCACATGATGTTGAAACTCTTTGCTTCAATATTCTGCTGTGCAAACAAGGAGCCTTCGGTGTGGAACAAACATTCCCCAGTAGAATCTGAGCCCACTGGCACGAAGCAGCAGAGTTCAGCAAGCTGGACCGGACCGGACCAGACAGAATCCAGAACAGCCACATTAGCCCTCATACCAGCCTTAATGCCTAAACTAGCTGAGATTGCTGTACTACCCAGTCAGCCCAGAGCCGATGCGAGGCTCCATCTTCCCAAGCAGGTCATCCACTTGATTAAGATGTAAAGAAGCCACAGGCAGACTTTAGCCAACAAGTTGGATCCAGGCGTCGGATCCGTGCGCCATGACTGGCTTGCCGATCGCACGACAGCTGCAGGTTCCGACGGCCTGAGAACGAGCAGGTCCGGCACCCAGCTGGTATTGTTCAAACGCAGACAAAAGTCACAGCGACTGATTGGAAAGCGGCCAGCGGCAGCCGAACTGACACTAGTCAGAGCTGGCACGCAGCCACGGCCTCGCAACCGGCGGGGCGCCCTGACAGACGAGCGCATTAAGGGACGCGGGGCCGAGAAGAACGGCCACCGAGACGGAACCAGATACGAGCGGAGACAGATCGCGTCTGCCAGAACGCAAGACAAGCGATGGACATGCAAGATGGTGTTGATTCGCAATTTATAGGCACGAGAGGCAAACGGTTAATAAATAGTATTCGTTGACGCATTTAACTCTAAGGCACGATATCAATTATTCCTATTTCAACATTTTTATATAAATTCATTAAATATTTGACTATAGCAGGTGGAGATCTATCTCCCACATGCAACAGAAGAGTGGAAACTGATTTGCACCGTCGCATATTTCAGGGTCATCCTACGTTATGGGCACCATGCACACCGGTGGTGAAGCCTAACGCCACGTGACACGCGACGCAGGTTTGGCGGGAGGGAGGAGGCGTGCGACGCACACACAAAGGAAGCAGGATCTTCCGGATGCCAGACCAAGACTTAACAGCAGGGGCTGGCTTAATGGAGGCCCCACCCAAAAGAAAAAGAGGTCTGAACTCATGGGTGGAACTAATGAATTCCCTTTCATCTCCAAGTGCCAGCCCCCCCTCCCCCATTCCATCCATAAATTTAACAGGAAATTAACACTAACATCATTCTGGATCCTTTAAATCCTGCCAAAGGCAAAATCCATATATAACTACGACGTATCTGTATATGTATATATGTGCAATATATATATATATATATAATGTATCTATACTGCGGATATGTACATGCATGCAGATAAACATACATACATACACACGTCTAACGTGCAGTATGCATTTACTTTTGATATATAATAATTGGTGAAAACAGGAAAAATTCCAGCACTAAATCATGTAACGGCACTGAAGTTTTGCAGTAGAAACAGATCCTGCAGCACTTGGGCCAGGAAGCATTCTGAAGCATGCGACAGGCATGCGACAGAGCCGAGCGCATTTGGAGTGCTGCGAGTACACTGAGTGGGGTTGCTAAGTAACCAGCCTCGGTTCGGGCTTCTGAAAGCGGCGTTTGCGCAGGACGAGCTGCGTGAAGCCGGTCAAGTCCGCCATGGCAGATTTCTTTGAGAGCGGAATAAACACTCCGGAAATGGGTCTACGGTGCAGCCATCATGCCCGGGGACTTCTCCTGAATTCTTTCACGTGCCAGTACCTTCAAATTCATCCAGCTACACCACATGCCCCTCCAGCTCTTTCGACAACCTGGCCATGACGCCTTCTACATGATGCAATATTTGTCCCGTATTCAGAGGCGGGACCACAAGAGCACAGCTAAAAGCTGATTGGCCCCCACCCTTGTCATTCATCTATTCTAAAACACATCATTGGCCAATGATAAGGTTAGCCCCTCTAATTGCCCCTGACCATTATAATGAGGTCAAATCCATTAAGCAAATATTAAAATGAACATTAAAAATAGCTCTTCCCCAACTCCTCTACCAGCGTTTTGGGGGTTTGCGACAGGGGATGGGCAATGGGTGTACCTGAGTGGCCGGTTCTCCTTGCCGTCGTAGATGGTTAAGAAGACCTCAAGCTCCTCGCCCAGGTTAGAGCTGACAAGGCTCTTTACCTGGGCGAACAGGTGATGTGTGCTCGAGGGGACGGGGGTGTCCTTCTTCCTGTGCCGATGCTCCATCTGTTTGCACAAATAATGTTAACAGTCTAAGCAGACACCATCTAGTGGTGGTGGGGGGGTCTTCTACAGAAAGTGTGCTGGGGGTAATGGGCCGGATCAGAGAAATAAGAATGTGTACATTTCTAACGGCGGCTCAGATGTTTCCCCCAAGCGCCTCTTTTAACAGAAATTAGCTTGATATTTTTTTTATTCCAGAAGTTGCAGGGTGAGACCTGAAGCTTCCAAGCCCACAGTGCGCGGGATCATTGGCGCCGTCAATCAGCCTCAGGTTCAACCCAATGGGCGACCAGCTTGGCGACCAAGAAGGTTAGACGATGAATAATATGCCGACGGTCTCATGCAGCACGGAATTTCTGCACTTCTGGTTAGATTTCACATGCTGTGATTCTGTTCTGTTCTTCATGGTCGACACAAATCCCAAGGACCTCCTGTCGATATTCCTCATCAGGGCAAGAACTCAGACCCCACTACAAAACAAATCCCGAGGTCCAACCGGCCCGGGTTCCAGAGAGTCTCCATCAGGTGATGCTAACGTGAAGCGACACCCGGTGCCTGGTCACGGCGCCGGGCCCTTAACGTGTCCCGTGAGGATCAGGCGTGTGCGACGAGCTCCGCGGCTCTGTGGCTCTGTGCCTTGTCCGTCTTCCCATTCTCGACCTTTCCTGCCTCCCAGTATGCCTGACATCTCACCCCTCCAACTAGGAGCTTTTCTTCTGTGTTCTTGAGAACACAAACCCTGTCCAAGATGCTGGCAAGGGCACGTCAACCTGGGGGGGGGGGGGGTGATCTGGAGGTTTCTGGATGGAGGTCGGTGGTGCTATTGGACAATGACAGCTCATTGTGTACTCTCCCTCCCTCTCTCTCCCTCCTCCACCAGCCTCTGTCACTCTCTCTCTTTTATTCTCTCCATCTTGTTTGGCGCCCAATTATCCGGAGACTCGGAAAGTGCTGGCGTCCTGCTCGGAGCTGACAGGCTCCTCCATCAGCAGAGGAAACAATCCGGACGGCAGAACTCATTCTGTGCTGGATGCAGCTGATTTACCCAGCCGCCCGACTCCCCTTTCGACACGAAAGCGCAGATTAAACGCGGTCAGGTGACCCTTTAAAGAGCTCGCCCGTATCACAGCTAAACCTCGACGACTCCGAACTAACATTTTAATTATCCACGGCTTGTTAGTATGCAAAAAGGAATCACAAGCTAATTATACACACTTTATCTTTCCCTTAGTTCCTAATTACTACCATTTCTTTGTATATACTATTATAATAATAGAGGTACAATATGCTTGCTTCACAATCCCCTATGTTTACTGGAAGGGGATTAAGCGTCTCAGTTTCATAGATGGAAAATGGCTATTTAAGACGAACTAACAGCAAGCCAAGCCTGTCACCATGGCAACGCGGGCCCGGCGTGAGGAAGCGGGGTGGGCAGAAAGCCGGGACGACGCGGGGTGCACCCACCAGCTTGTAGAGCTCCGTGACGCTGATCTCATCCGGGTCCACCATCCCGAACTCTTTCCGGGGCACCAGGTCCAGACCGAGCTGCCTGCCGACAGAGAAAAGGAGCATGTTGGCACAGATTTAGATGTTTAGATTTTTAGGGGTGCTGTAAGGTGGGGGGGGTTGGGGGTTAAGACTGTCCTAAAGGCCCCTGATTGACAGGAGCCCTAAAAATTTGCGACATAATTAGACTGGACTGGGTTTGGGGCCCAATATGATAAGGACTCACTCGTTGCCCCAGTCGAGGCGAGCGGTGATGTGCTGCTTGACGTCCCGCATGCGGTCCTGCGTCAGGTGTCCCACCAGCACCTGCCTCCGCAGGTCCAGCACCTCGTTCATCACGTGCCACAGGCGGTGGAAGAGGTCCCCCTCGTTCTTCTGTGCGCAAGAGCAGACACACACACACCATTTAGTAGCTTGCCGCAGAAAATGCAGTCATAGGTGCCACGGACAGCAGGGGGAGCAGTAGTTAAGAAACCGCACTTTTGTCCAAGCTGTTTTAATGAATCCTACTTAATAACTCTCTAGCCTTGATGGAGACACTCAACTTGGACAGCTTCCTTTAACACATAGCTGCATAGGTGTGTCACGGCTAAAAGTTATGAAATTCACCTTGCATATTAATATTGACTCAGGAGATCAGCAACGTAATAATTAAAAAAATATAAAAATGCAAGAGACTGATGATATACCACTGCATAATGTAATGTGAAGATGATTCACTGTCAGCAAAATTAACATACAGTTAATTAGACCATAACCTAATTGCGTTATAATTATTTAATAAGCCTTAGTCAGCTGCTGGTCGCTGCGTCTCCGTAAATAGATCCGTAAATCAAACAGATCTGCCGGATCCTTCCCCGCGGTCAGGACACACTTACCACGTACAGCTGCTTCCACATCGTGCCCCAATCCCTCAGCGTGGACGTCATCTCCGTGATGACCGTGTCCTCGCTGGGAATGACCGTCTCAAACTGCCTGGGGTCAGGAAGACAGCATTACCCCGGTAAGTCACACAGCGTACCACATCTCCAACAGCAGCCCGGTCCCGAATGCCTAACCCACCACCGCTACACTTCAGCGCGGAATATGCAGTCATAAGCAAGCAACTTACCCTTTGTTCTTAATATGGGCACTTTTCAGGTAAACATAGCATGCTGGGAATATTCCCTGGGAGAAGAAAGATATAGCCATGAGCTAGCGAATGTAGCTTGTTTTGCATATTTATGACATACATTTTTACTAGATTTGCATTGGTGTTAGTCTGTCAAAAGAAGAACGATTCACAGGCTAGAAAAAGTCTTTACGATTAACTTCTTATCTACGGACATGCAAAATATGACTGAAATAAGTCTATTGGTGTCTGGATGGCCTTCTACACCAGGGTTTCCCAATCCGGTCCTCAGGGACCACAGACAGTCCACTTTTTTGTTCCCTCTCAGCTCCCAGCCCGATAGACCACATTTTCGCTACTGGAAGCAGGGAGGAAGCAAAAATGTGGACTGTCTGCAGGTCCCAGAGGAGTGGATTGGGAAACACTGTTCTACATAAATGCAAAAAAACATAACGGGTCATTTTGGTCTTACCAGCACAGGTCAGTGTAATACACCCAGGTAAGAGGGCAGTAAGAGAACAACAGTCTGGAAAATGTTATAAAATCATCGTGAAATGTTTGGGGATTCAGACTGCTGTAGGGCTGTCTGCAAATGGCTGAAATCTTTTGACCGCAGTGACTCTGCCTGGATGTGGACGTCCTTCAAAATTATCCCACAGAGCGAAGAGGGGGAAAAAAAAAAACGCACAGGACGTCCAAAAAGAAAAAAAAAAAAAACGCTTACTGAGATGAAAAGGTGCACTTACAGAAAACAAAGATTTGCATTTATGCAAACATGTTTTGTGTAATAAATAAGGATATAGTATACTTTACATTTGTTATTTGGGTCATCTTTATTAAATATTGGAGTGCAGGTGAAATATTTCTGTAACAATTTGCGCACGATACAGAAAAAGGCTCACAGACGCCTAAGCAGCTCAGGGCTAGAAAGGGAACAAAAACACCTCTCAGCTCTGCGTGTGTGTGTGTGTGTGTGTGTGTGTGTTTATGGCCATGGCTGCGTAAAGATAAAAACTGTTAAAACTTTGATGCATCAGACAACCTCCAGGGACCAGCTCAAAGTAAATCATGCGGAAGCCATTGTTCCATATTCCAAAAAGCATTTCTCACAAAAAACTCCACATTAAAAAATCCACACACGCGCACATACACACACACACACACACACACACACACACACACTCAGACACCAGCTGAAGGCACCGCTCACCTTGGCACTCGGATTCTTCAGAACAAATCCTCTGTACCATCCTGGAGAGACAAAAATATTAACCTTTCCTCCATCCCATCTCTCTTCTTTCACATTCCTTTTTTAACATTTGGCCATGTCACGACATTTCTGGACTATTTGAGGGACACTGCAGTCTCCGTTCTTAACCACTACGCCCCCTAGCGTGCACATTTCAACGCACCAGGGGCAGGAAAAGGTTGTGCCGGTTGTGCCGATGTTTCGGTCCTGAGGTTGGTCATCGCCGTCCTGCTTTGCTTTAAGCTACGGGGGCTGTGATGGTGACATAACGAAGAGCGCAGCCGTCGGCTCTTAGCACAACGACCCCAGCGTATGATGTCTGGGGTTTCATTTAACCCATTTAAGAAAAAAACACAGCCTGATAAACTATGTAAAATATGGCCACATTAAACACCACGACGGAGTGGTAATGGCAACTCTCGCTGCCAGGGACGTTGGCATTCGGCAGAGATGGTTCAAATCCCTGAGGGGGTTCACACGCTGAACCCCAATTCACCGCTCACGCAGAACATCTATGCCCAGTTACCCGAGTCTAATCGGTCCCTGGAATAGAGAGAACTCCGATATCGGGCTATTTGCAGAATTTCTATTGGAAATTTTTTTTATTTGCTTTGGGTACATTCCAAGAAACACTCAATATAAACAGATTAAAACCATAAGCTATAGAAATCGCATTGTACAAAAATCATCTGATAATCTCTTTCTCTCTCTCTCTCACACACACACACACAACAGCCTTGGGTAATATTAAGATAAAATGGTATACAGAGGTATTTTGCTTGGGGTGGGATATAGTTTTATCATGAAGATTTCAAAAAAGTAGCACACTGCTTCTGAATACCATCAAGATACTGTATACTGTGACACCACCCAGGTCTACACACACACACACACACACACACACACAAAAACATGAAAATAGAAAGTGACTTGTATCTTGGAAGTATCTAAATCACGATTCCAGGTGCAGCAGCAAAAGGTGAGTCACATTACGCCACATGCCAGTCAGCAGTGAATGTCAGCTCTCACAGAGAATCGGCACCTTGATATGTGAGTTTCCAAAGGGTCAAAACAGAAGCCAGATCAGTGCTGAAACTGCAGGTGTGCCAGTCAGAAAAACAGCAAAACAGAGTCGCCTTTAGAAATCCTGACGGCGTGCGCCAAACACGGACAGCCTGCATCGGCAAACGGGACAAACGAGCGAGTCAGGGACAGATGGACACTTAACAGCATAGATGGAAAACACCACAAAAGTACAGCCTCAGACTCGACTACAGCCTGAAAGAGCACCACCAACCAAGCTTCATAGAGTATAAGGACAGCAAAAGCTGCACCTCTGTTTCCACATGGGTTTTTGCACATTTGGTACAAACCAAAGACGCTTTCAGGCCATAATGTCTGTTTCCAACCATTAATCACTGTGAGAAGTCCCTTATGGTACCCGCAGCTATCACACAGTCATGTTCCTCATCCCTCAAAGAAATGCAAGCTTTACTCTATATAATATGCTCCAGTATCCCATTACACGCAGTCTGGGTCTTCTATGACAGAAAGAACCACCCTGTAATTACTACCTGGTGATAGGAAGGTTGCCAGTTCACATCCCAGGCCTGGTAGAGTTATTTCACCCTTACCCCTAATTGCTCTAGGGACTGGCTGACCTTGCATTCTCAAAACTTGTTTTATTCAAAAATCTGATAAATATTATGCACTTAATATTAGCCTACATCCATGACGTGGATATGTCGGTATCGGTGTTTCTGTTGTTTTGTGATGAACTAATTAATCTTAATTGATGCATGTAATGAGAGACGATGCCCAGCACACTGTGTCGCCGGAAAACTTGTGCAGACATACAGCGCTCAACTGTTAATGGTAAACATCAGCCAATGCATTTATGTCTTAACACCGTATACAGAGCTCTGCGACACGCGTAGCATCGTGCCTTGATCAGACCCACAGCTCCATCATTCCAGAGTCCTCACTTCCCCTCTGCTCTCATGGTTTACAATTTAAAAAAATCTGTAAATGAGCTGAGGAAGAATAGACACAAACATGCATTTTTCTTATCTTCACTAAACAGGAAATGAGCAAACAGAGAAGGATTTCTGGACAATTTACAAAAACAGGAAATTTTACAGATGCCTGTTTAGAAAACATCTCAAACCATAGAGGAAGCCCCTTAGCCTTAGGAGAAGAAAAAAACAAAGTCATCCTTAATCTTCACTTAAATGAAGGTCCTGGTGGATCACATTGTCTAAAAGGAATCCCTTCAAAATGACACCAGTACAGAATCATCTCCTCTCCATGTATCACTGGAGGGTAACTCTGCTCCACGTTCATGTTCTCAGGTGCGAATCTTTATGGCGGGGGGGGGGGAATAAAAAACAAGGATCTTACCTTCGCACTTCTCCAGAATCTGCACCGTGTCCCCGATCTCCAGCGGTAAGCCACACTGCACGGTGCCTCTGAAGCTGGCCAGCACTAGAACACACAGACACACACACAGGACTTTAATTTACCCGGAGAGGCAGCTTCATCTACCCTAATCTCTGTGTCTCCTCATACATACTAGATCCTGCCATGCTGAAAACGGCAGATGACAGCCTATGACTTCAGCGATGAGTAATAACAAAGACTTCAGGTTCAAGTCCGACAAAGAGAACAGCCATGGTTTGTTTAGACAAGGTACTTAACTAGAGTCGGCAAGATAAAAATAACCAGCTGGATAAACCGGGTTAAAGTGGTGCAAGAATTAATTCTTTGATTAACCAGACATTCTGCAGACAGAACCCAAAAGTGTATTTGCAAATGGCCCTTAATCATCAGCCCCCCCCACCAGAATCCAAAGGGCAGGCATTTGGACTTAATCTCTTTTGTTTAGCCTGCCATCAGGCAGTATGGCTGGGGAGCAGATGTGATGATCTGATGCTGCACATTTCCGGAAGGTCTCATGACCTCCAAGGCGTACTGCTGAGCCTGCATCCACCAGACTGCGGCTTTGTCACGCCGTACCAACCGACGTGGCCAATGAGGGGCTGGGGGGCGGGATGTCTCACTCAATCAAGGGCAACACGCTGCGCATAAACTGTGCAGGATGTCAAATGGGGAACGACAAGCCCCCTACTGAAGAGGCGAGTCCTACCAAGACGTACTATTGTTATTATTATTATGTGCTGTCAAATTAATTCAGGCGTCCCAATCGCAGTCATTGTGGTGATGATCGAGTCCATCCATCTTGCTGTTGGTCGTTCTCATCTTCTGTTCCCTTTGACTTTTATTGGCACCCTGGTCCTTCCCAGCGCACTGGGTCTTCTCACAATATCCCCAACCTAAGAACTTCAGTCTGGATATGTGCTTCAAGAAAAGGTCGATTTGATGAAGAATCCTTGTCTATTTTCTTTGTGGACTTTCGTACCCTTGCAAGTCTTTGCCAGCGCCATCGTTTAAAGGCGTCTGTAGGCTCCTTGTCTTGTACCACTGCCCAGCTGTCACATCCAAAAGGTATAGCATGCTATACCCAAAAGGTCAGTGACGCGCACAGCATGACGGCTCTCTGCAACACCAGAGCCATTTTTGTCAAAACAAAAAGAACACAGAACCCTCACTCTGTGACGAAAAGAGCCTGCTTATGGCCTAGATCCTGTAATAGTCTTTGTCGCTACACCTTTAGTGGCCAGTGTGTTATGCACCCTTGCGTGTTAAAACAAAAAGCCTGCTGCCTCAAACAGCGAATCACGTGGCTGCAACCGAATACATACAGCAACACCGGCAGGGGACAGGAGGTTCAGTCGCTGTCTGGGTGAGAATTAGAATCGCTAGACCCAGGTAATTATGCATGTGGAGGTTCCAGCGTCTCAGAAACAGCCACCCACCTGGGAATTTCACACACTACAGTTTTTAGAGGTTACAGAGAATAGTGGGAGATAAAACATCCAGTCCGTGGCAGTTCTGTGGGTGAAAACAGCTTGTTAATGAGGGAGGTCAGAAGAGAATGGCCAGACTCAAAGCTAACAAAGGGCACCGGGGCATTAATAACAGCTCAGTACGACAGAGCAGGTGCTCAGAGAAGCTCCTCTGAATGCACAAACCGTCTACCCTTGAAACAGCTCCAGAGGCAAAAGTTGGTCCTACCCTCTACTAGGTAGCGGTGCTATATCACTTGCTCATTAAAAATTCATAGTTTGGCAGCTGAGCTCGAGTCAGGGAAGGGGGTTATCGTACTTTTTTTAAACTTGGTTCAGCTTTTCGTCGTACTGTTTGCCATTTTTGCAGCGTTAGGTGTAACGGCGCAACATCAATTAGCATCATATAAGCAAATTCTTTTATTTTATTTAACCGCGTCACCACTTTACATTAAAACCACCAATGTTTAAATATAAATGAATCCTGGCAGATTTATCCCTGTTCAGCCTGAAAATGCACTTGGTTGTGATTCATCACCATCTAGCAATGACGGCAAACCATTAGATTTATCCATTAGACAATGGGTTGTACCAGTGTTTCCCAAACCAGTCCCCGGGGAACCCCGGACAGTCCACGTTTTTGCTCCCTCCCAGCTCCCAGCCAATCAGGAAGACCGAATACCTGGTACAAGTGCGCTGGGAGCTGTGTGGAAGCAAAAACGTGGACTGTCCGGGGTTCCTTGAGGACTGGGTTGGGAAACACTGGGTTATACCATAGTGGTTGGGCAAACAGGCCATAAGAGCACAAGCTCCAGGCTGGCATGTTGGGCCCTGAACCCTCGCCCCTGCCCTCATGGCCCAGGAGACCCCAAGGCAGAGGGCGAGGGCAGAGCCATCTACATGCCGCCATGAGAACCCTGTCAGGACGACACATGGCAGCCAGGGACGTGGGGATGGCGAGAGCATCGCCGAGTCCTCGACCCACACTCACGGGAGCAAGGAGACCAAACGCGGGAGTCAACACAGAGAAAGAAATTCAGGTGGAAGCTCATTTCCTCACAGACTCCCTCGGCGCAACACCAACCACCAAGCTGAGGCGCTCACTGCTAATCCAGCCAGCATCTGCTATGGGGAGGGGGGGGGATGCTCATAGCAGAGCCTGAGGAGCGGTACATGGACCTTGGGGCCTATAACTGGAAGGTCGAGGGTTTAAGTACCATCCTCATCAGAACAGCCACATGGCTGTAGGCCCCTGAGCAAACCCCCGAACCCCCGATAAACTCCGGGGGCGCCGATAAGCAGCTGACCCAGTACTCAGACCCCAAGCTCACCTACGTGTGTGTTTGTCTCAAAAGAGAGCATGATGGGATACGTGAAGAGAAGCATTCCTGTGTACCTGCATTCTGACTTGTGCAAATGGCAAACAGAACAGCATTTCATTTCAAGGCTCTGAGGCAGCCATCATCGCCTCTTAAAAGCACGACACGGGTAGCCAGCAAGCGTCGATGCACAGATCCCACGTCATTCTGGACGCGCTGCACACTGACCCCTGCTGGAGACCAGCTAGAGCAGAGAGGCGAAGATTACAGATGTGGACTTTTGGAACAAAATGCACCAATCAGAGTAAGTACCTGGACGGGTCCCGTACAGCCATCCCAAGTTATCAGCGATAAGAGAGCCCAGAAATGTTAATAAATTAAGCTAACACTTAACTTTCATTTGTGCAAGTGGGATTAGCATGGATATTAATTAAATTTCTCTTGACTGCGGTGAAAGTGACCATTCACAGAGTCACGGGAACTTTGAAAAAGAGAGAGAACGAGAGAGAGAGAGAGAGAGAGAGAGAGAGAGAGTGGCTGCCAGATTCAGCTGTGCATATAAACGAAGCCTGAGTCCTTTCATCGCACTTTTTATTACATTTTGGTTCCCTTGCTTGTCCTGACATCCAGGTGTGCCTATATCACCATACTGCAATCCATACATTATTCATACTGTCATTAATATGGAAATTCATAGCATTTGATGTGTGGGGGGGGGGGGGGCATTTTGACCCCGCTGCCAAATAAACATGAATAATTGATCTATTAGATCAAGAGTCTCAGACCACACGCAGTAAACCCCACCCCCCCCCAAAGAAAGAAAAAAAAAAAGGTTTAGAGTCTCCAGAGTGAAGAGCGGCAGGACGTTAGCGGAGCTCAGCCGGAGCTCAGCAGGGTGAGAGACGCCATATTTCCTCCGGAGGATTCACACCTTTCAGGTTGGGGGGGCTTTGCTTATGGCAGGCCCCTGTCTAGGGGCAGGGAAAATGCAGACACCCCCATGAACATGACGGGGCCCCGAGAGGGTCTTCCAATGCCAGAGAAGGGGAGAATGCAGACATCATAACGCAACAGGCTGTGTACAGGATAGGATCCCAGGATAGATTATCCTCACTGATTTTGTGATGTTATCATTACATAGTCTGTCTCTTTACAATCAAGCACTTTCTCGCCACAGTTATGGAACCTAGATCACGGGCCTTTGTAGCTCCTGCCCACTTTCGTGAGTCACATTCATACCACACAACAGGAAACGTGACCTCTGTGCTGAATAGGAGACACAAAACCCTTATAGATTAACCTTCACACGTAATTTCTTACGAAACTACACCCCCACTCCAGAACAATGTAGGATATACAAGTCGCTTTGTTAAGTTATTAGGAGGATCGATTGCAGAGTCAGAAAACACGGGACAAATTGCATTTTATTTATTTGTTATTTATACTGCCCGCAACATGTTTATAATTGATTATTCAATCTGACCGGCAGATCGAACTTTCATTGTCCACAGAAAAGAGAGACAATGCAGTGTTTCTCCACAAGAAACTGCTAGGAAGTGTCACCACCAGCACCGGTAATATTACACAGAAGTATATCGGTTATCTTTCGGATTTTCCGATGCAGAAGTATGGAGACACAAGCAATAAAGGTATTCATTAATGCATTTACTGTAACTGAGATTTTAAAAAAAAAACTATCCTATCTGCTCACATTTTCCTCCTCTACTTCTCCTTTTCCTGCCCTTCTTCATAACCTCCAAGTTAGCGCTGGTGCTTATTATCAAAGTGATTATCAAGTTAATCATTATAATCCCCACCCAGTAGTTCCTGGGCGAGCAAAATGTACCATGCTACTAGTAGGGACTTAAAAAAAGGTTCAGGAACTATGACTGAAGAACTAACACTAACTATGACTGCAGTGAAATGTAACAATGGTTCCTGAAAAATGTTCCTGGGGGGGGGGGGGGGGGAACAGCAGTTTCTCTCTTTTATAGTCTGACTACCTCAATATATGTTTCCTTCTATATAAAGTTTACTCTTTTGTATATTGTTTACATCATTTATATATTATTTACTTTATATTTATATTGCATCGGCTTTGGAAGTCAACAACATGATCTCGTTGATAATATGACCTTTGAATCCCTGAATCTCTATATTCTCGACACAGAGAAGGTACGAGTTAAATATAGCAACGCCTCCACCCCCACCCTATAATAATCTAAATGTGCACTTTTTGTCTTTTTGCCCAAAATAAGGC